CCCCAAAACCCCAAAACCCCAAAACCCCAAAACCCCTCATGCTAAATTTCAACTGCCCCTTCTGAATTTATAAAAATTACAAAAAATTTCAAAAATGTCAGGCAAAGAAGAAGCTAAAAGCGGAATTAAGAGGAAGAATACTGGAAAAGGAGGGCATGATGACAAACATAGGTTGGTTTTTAGTAATGATCTACGATATAGCGCCCCTTCAGGACAGGGTAACATCTGTGTGGTGTGCAGGTTCCGTCCTCTCAATCAGAATGAACTTAACCATGGAGGATCTAATGTCTGAGCAGACTTTCATCCGAATAAAAAATCAGTCACAATCGTTACAGAGGGTGATGGAGTGACTAATAAGAATGAATTCACTTTCGATAGAGTCTTTGATATCAATTCCAGTCAGATAGAGGTTTATAACCAAGCTGCCAAGCCCATTATTGAGAGTGTAATGGAAGGATTCAATGGAACAGTTTTTGCATACGGGCAAACTGGGTCAGGAAAGACCTTTACCATGCAAGGACCTGATATAGAGGATATTGAGAGCCAAGGTATAGTACCAAGAATGGTGAGAACGGTGTTTAACCGTATTGAGAACTCAAGTGAAAACATTGAATTTACTGTTAAAGTTTCGATGATGGAAATTTATATGGAAAAAGTTTAGAGATTTGTTAGACCCAACCAAAGCCAATATGAAAATTAAAGTTGATAAACACAAATCTGCTTATGTCCATGATCTCACCGAAAGATATATTGGCTCTGATCTTGATGTGTACGATATCATGAGAATCGGAAACAACAACAGAAAAGTCGCCAGCACATCGATGAACGACCAGTCTTCTCGATCTCACTCCATCTTCGTGATGACTGTCCACCAGAATAACTTAGACGACCAGACCAGCAAAACTGGAATTCTGTATTTGGTTGATTTGGCTGGGTCTGAGAAAGTTGGTAAAACAGGAGCTTCAGGCCACACACTCGACGAAGCCAAGGGTATCAACAAAAGCTTGTCAACTCTAGGCAAAGTCATCAATGCTCTGACAGATGGCAAGTCCAAACACATTCCATATCGTGAGTCGAAGCTGACTCGCATTCTGTCAGAATCGTTGGGAGGTAACGCTCGGACGGCTCTGATCATCACTTGTTCTCCATCAGTGTACAATGACATGGAAACAATATCGACACTGCGCTTCGGAACCACAGCCAGAAACATCAAGAACAAGCCCAAAGTCAACAAAGAGCTAACTGTCGCAGAAATGAAGAAGCTGCTGTCGAAGTCTGAGAAAATCATTGAGGTCAGAAACTACAGAGTCAAAGTGCTTGAAGGGTGAATCACAGAGTTAGGTGGAGAAGTCCCTGAAGACGAGTACAAAGATCTTCAGCTTTCCTCAAAGCCAGCGCCGGCCAAAGAAGAAGTCAAAGAGCCAGCACCTTCGAAAGAACCCGAACAAGATGATGACGATGATGAGCAAGATGAAGAAGAGAAGAAGGCCATTGATGACGAGCTCCAAGCCAAACTCAAGAGACTCCAAGACAAACTCAACATTGAGACTGACAAGTACTGCAACTTGACCGAAGAGTTCGAAGTCTCACAGAACAAACTTGCAGCTTCTCAAGAGAAATGTGACAAGCTTCAGGTTCAAGGCCAGAAACTCGAAGAAGAAATTGAAGAAAAATAATGACTTGGTCCAGACTCAGAAGCAGAAGCTGCTGTTGCTTGAAGAAGAACTCAGAAATGTCGTTGAGAGCAACGAGAAACTGTCTAAGAAACTGGATAGAATAGAAGAAATGGGAGGCATCTATCTCCCAGAAATGGAAGACGGTGACTCGGCTCATGACAAAAAGAGGACTGCTCAAGAAGCCATGCAGAAAGAACTCATCAGGGTTTCACAGAAACTCAAACGCATTTCTGAACTAGGAGGACTCAGCGATGAAGTGAAACAGATCTTAGACATTGAAGTCAGACACACTGATGAAGAGTCTAAGGAAGACCCAGACACCGATGAAATGTTCAAAGATAGCCTTCTGGACATGCATGCAGACCTCTCCAAGTTCAAAGACAAGTCACTGTCGATATTCTTGGATGAAGAAGACACCAACAAGTTGATCAAGTCACAGATCGAGCTGAGAGAACAACAGAAGCTTGATGAGAGACAGAAACACGAGTTCCTGGCTCAGATAGACTCATTGAGCGAAGAACTTGAAAATGCAGCCAAAGAGTCGAACCCCAACATCCAGGCCATTACCAAGAAACTGGCTGACGAGCAGATCATGAAGGCAGAAAACAGATGGGCAGAAGAGAAAGTCCAGATTTTGAGAGACCTTGAGAACAGAGTTAGCAAAGTGGTTCAGCTTGAAATTTCTTTAGATGAAGCCAATGAAAAATATAGGAGACTTGAGAACACTATCAACCAAGGCGATGTCCCTCTCCGTAAGAAAATCAACAAACTTGAAAACCAAGCTGAACAAATTACTATAATGTACCACCAAGTGGTTTCCGAGAAAAGTGTACTTAAAGTTGACCTTCAAGTCTATGAAAAGAAACTCAAGAGAAAGGATGAGAAAATCGCCAGTCTCGAGAAAGCTCTTAACAAACTTAAAGAAGGGAATGTAGCTCTCAAGAAGATCCTCAGAGGTCTCAAATCTCTGAAGATGAAAGCCAATGACGAGAACAGAATTTTAGAAGGAAACAATGTAACCGGGATTCCATCATCCGGAAGAGTCGTGAAGCCATTAAGAGGAGGAAGGAAAGACAAGCCTGCACGGATCATGTCAAGTATCCAATCCTAACCCAAACTCCAGCCTTACTCAATCTCTCCCCACCAGGAGTAAATAAGAATATTGAATCATTCAACATTAAATGTCCAATCTGGGGTTTTGGGGTTTTGGGGTTTTGGGGTTTTGGGGTTTTGGGG